TAACAGTTCTTCTTGAAGAAAAATTATTGTTTTTTAAGGTATTCAAAATCATCATGGTATCCAAAATGGTTTAGAGAGAAATTGGAAAATTTTATGTGTAGAGGGTTAAACATGACAAAACCCAATTTTGACCCCATAAATCCACCCAAAAACCCTGTTCTCATGGTCTGATCATGCTGGATTGCGAACTCGTTAAAATCAATCTAAAGATTTTTTGTTCTTTTCTATATGACATAACATGAAACTTTAACACCGTTAATGACTGTAGACGTGTACTTTTTAAAGAACGTTAGCACGATAACTCAAGCAAAAATGACCCAATGTTGACGAAATTTGGTAAAAACGTGTAAACTAGGGATGGACGAGATTGGATTTTTAGTTCGAGACGAGACGAGACGAGATTTTTTATTTCTCATAAAATTTCGAGACGAGATCGAGACGGGATTTCCCATCTCATACACAACGGGAAATGCACGTTCAAAATTTTTACCTGATTTTGTAACATTGTTAGATGACTGTTTAAATACAAAAATAATGATAATAGGCAAGAATATTTACAATCTTTTATTAAAAAACATCAGCATAACATTTTTTTATTAATCACGCCTAACTTATTAAAAAGGCCTACGATTAGGAAACATAGTGATATCAGTTAGGATAGAGTTCAACTTATCCTAAAATAGAATAAATCATAAAATAAAAGCAATATTAATTTTTATAAAATAGTTACTTGTTTTGACTTTTTATAGTAATAAAACATTCCTCACACTGCTTACACTTAACAAAACTTCTCAAATGTTATTAAAGTAATATTTACATTTAAAGAATTAATTAAATAAGAACGCCTTCGCAAAGGAAACGCAATTACAACACGCTCCTGTATTGCGGGTATTGCATTGACTTTCTGCAGGCGTTTTTAATTTTTTTTTTTTTTTTTTTTTTTTTTTTTTATTCTCGTCTCGATAAAAATCTCGGCCAAAAAGAAATCTCGTCTCGTGTAACGAGATTTAAAATTTCCCGAAAATTTCCCGAAATTTCGAGACTTGACCATCCCTAGCTGTAAACCTACGTTTAATCAAACGAGTTTGCGAACCAGCATGATCGAACCATGAGAACAGGGTTTTCTGAGGGATTTATGGGGTAAAAATTGGGTTTTCTCATGTTTGCCCCTCTAAACGTAAAATTTTCGAATTTCTCTCTAAGCCATTTTGAATACCATGATTGGTTATTGTACTAGTTTATGGTTATATTTTGATAAAACTTGGACAATTTATTTATTTTAACCTATACATATTTTAATTAAAAAAACACACTTTATTACCCTCCCCGTAGCAGCAAACCTAGTTAAAACTAATTAAACTTTAGGTTATTGAAATAGATTTAATTGAAAATCAAATCAGGCAAATGGAAACTCACTTAATCTGCAGGTTTGCTGCGGTGGGGGTATTTTGCCTATTCCATGAAATGCAGAAACGGCATCACAACCTGTGATTGCAAGGAAAATGAAAGATTGATGCAGATTTCTGGAGAGAGTTGACAAAACAAAACACTAAACAATTTTTAATTATTTTAGTGATTAACGGCCGCCATTTTGAAATAGCCTAATCAAACTCGACCATTGACAAACTGGGATTAGGTATCGTATTCAAGCACTTGTATGCCAAATTTCATTAAAATTGGTTCAGGCATTTTGGTATAATGACCAATTCATAGCGACCCAGCATCCTCTTACGAGCGCCATATTGATGACGTCATTACGGGCGACCAAGGTCCTTAAAAATTGGGTCCCAGTGGTTTTACATTCTTGGCCTTATATATTATCTTCACCCTAAGCTGCAGGATCACCGCCAGAACTGAAATATTTTTCTGCTACCCACCCCCACTACTAAGCCGTCAGTGTTAAGTCAAGACGACGATGGAGAAGAACGAGTTAGAGACCCTGACCATCCCATGGATGGTGTTCGAATGCATCAGTAGCTGATGAACAATATGACAAGTGGTGGTTAAAGAGACGAAACTACCAGTTTCTTGGTTAATTTTCCTCACAACTTTAATATTTTACACAGACTCATGGTCAATTTTGTAATACAGTAATTGATATTAACTGGATTATTTTATCTTAATTAATTTTTTTATATTTAGTTTTTCATTAATAAATTAGTCTTTTTCTAATAAACTTTTGGTTGTATTGCTTTTATTATGTTCTTTTTCGATTCTGCATCCTAAGAAATATAGAAATCAACACCTTACTTGCTTGGATCCCATAAATAAAAATTTTCTCAAAATCACTACCCCCATAAACTTTAACCCCCATAAAATGGTACTTCCACCCCCACAATCACTAGGGACTCTTCAGATTCCAAAACCTAATGGTAATTAATTACTACGTTTCCTGCAAGTTTCATGAATGGACCAATTTTTATGTTTTCTTAGGTGAGTTTTACCTGTACATTGATTTATCTTAAATAAACAATTGTACAGATAGTAATGATGTAATATTAGATTCTGCCAAATGGGAAATGAAACCAATGTTTAGATTAAGAGAGGTGGGAGTACTAGAAATAGAAGAAATTATCAGTTCCCTTAAAAATAAGAGTTTGAGTGGGTATGATGAAATTCCTACTGGTGTTTTGTTCTACTGGTTTTTTAGTATAATTTTACCTGTACTAGTTATTTTTTACCACATTTGCAAAGAAATCATTAAATATATTTGATACATCTGTTGGGTTACAGTAATGTTTTCCATTATGAACTAAATTAATATTTTGATTGTTTTTATGGATTTTGTTTCCCACTTCCGAATTTATAATATTCCAAACTGTTTTATTTACATTGTTTGATTTTTTTATTTTACTGTCAAAATAATCTCTTTTTGCCTTTTTAACATTTTTTTTTTGTAATTCAAAGATCTTAGCTTTAACATTTCTGTCAAATTGTTATCTTTTTTACTTCTGCTTTCCCGTGTTAGTTTAACTAGTGTGCTCTTTTCTTCTTTAAGTTGTAGGGAAATCCAATTTGTTTTTGTGTTGTTTTCTTTTTTATTCTTTTCATAGGAAAAGCTGTATTAAAGTGGTACATGAAACTGCCTAGAAAATGATTGTATTTATCTTTAGCCGGTGAAAGAATTACTTCAGTCCATGACTCATCTGATAGAAATTTTTTAAACAGATTAATGTTTTTTTAGATTTAACCATAAGGAAGACTGTCGACAGTTTCGATTATAGCATCTACAGGAAACCAACCACTTCTATACAAACAATCCACACAACACCTCATACCACCCATATTCTCAAAAAATGTCAGCATTTAATTCATTGGTCCATAGGATGTTAACAGTTCCATTAAACGCAGTAAATTATGAAATTGAATACAAAATTATAAAACATATTGCTACAGCCAATGGTTACAAAAGCGGTTTAGTAGATAGGCTCATCACAAAACATAAAAACAAACAATGTGTGAAGATTGACAGCTCTTAGAAGAAGAAAATATGTCTGCGTGGAATATAGTCACACTATCCAACACGCATTAATGAAAGAACTCGCTAAACAAGGCATTGAACTAGCCTTCAGAACAACAAACCGTACTGGAATCGTGTTGACGAATAAAATTGAGATAGGTGACAAAATAGATAAAACCGGATAGGAATAGGATATCTTGTCCGGATTGCCCAAGTAAATACATAGGGCAAACAGGCCGTGCCTTCCAAACACGATATAAAGAACACCGACCAGATCCTAAACACCATAAACAAAAATTCACAACACAAGTACAGCATGTGTAAACATTTGACACCTTCAGGCAAAAGTAAGTAAATCTTACCTATAGTAAAAAAAATCCACGTTTGCTCAACACCTTGTAGATTGTAATCACTCAATGAGTGATATTAAGACCGGCTTCGAAGTTTTACATTATTGCGGGAAAGGTAATAAGTTGGACACACTTGAGGAGTATGAAATATATAAAATGAACAAAAACGAAGAACACAAGGAATACATCCTCAACGATAAACTACAGTTCAAGTCCCACTCCCTCTTCAACACTGTTATCTCATCTGGAACAGCTGAGCACCGAGCCGATAACAGAGAAGGATGAGACAAAGTTACATAACCCGTGTCCAGTCTACCTACAACCGCTGCCGTGCAGTGTCATGATAGCGCTATCGTGTTATTTTGTGTTTTAAATGTTCCGTGTCCGTTTAAATTATTTGATGTTTTTGACGTAAAGCTCCAAGCGACTGACTAAGACAAGATATTTCTCGACTCGCTAATTACGTGACCATGACGCAACTAGCGTCGAAACCATGGTTGTAGATACTACAACTTTTATTGAACTGGGACGAAAATAAAAGTTAAATATAAACCGCTATTATTTTATATTTGGTTTTTCCAGATTTGTTTTCTTTCAGTTCATTACTATTTATACTTCATCAAGAAGTTAAATGCTCTGTTAAATTTTAATTAATTGCCTATCCATTGTCTACATACAAAGTAAAGGTCGATTCACACACATCAGTTACGGCACGTCGCAGTCCAGTCACTTCAGGCAAGTCACAGTTAACAAAAATATTCTTTAATGGATTTTCTATTGCGCTATCTTCACTCATCCGTTGCAGTTTCGTCAGTCGCTCTGCTGGCGTCCGTCAGTCGGTTTCAGATTTCTTTCCACCGATATTTTTGGATTGTTCGGACGCCTGACAGACCTGTTTGAGGTTAGAAAATAGTGTTTTTGTTATTTAAATGATTGTGTTTAAATTTTGAGTACTGTTTGTAACAATTAAAAAGATGGACAATGAAAATTTTATAAAATATAGGTTTATAATTTAAAGTTTTTGACTGTAAATAAATGTAAATATTAGAGACGGAAGACTGACTGAAACCAACTGACGGATAGTTGACTGAGAAATTGTGGATGCAACTGAGACTGAACTGTAACTGGACTGTAACAGAACTGTGACTGAACTGATATGTGTGAATCGATGCATAGTGTGGATAACTCACCGGCCATTTTGTTTCCCAGTAAATAACATCACTGTTGGTGGATGGCTCAGAATCTACAAGCTGAAGTTTGACAGCGTGTGTATCCCAAGACCGACGATAATCCAAGTCTATTTGGGCTTCCAGAAAGTCATAAGCTGTCACATCTTCATAGCGAGCATACACTGTAATATTGTATAAAGCACTTGATAGCTTATTAAACTAATGCCAAACTATTTTGATTTGTTTAAAGATCAAACAAACAAATGAATTGAATTTAATTTTTTAATGAGTTCACTAACTTTTCAAATCTACATTGAGTTCTGGAGTAAGCATGGTAAATTATACACTAGTTACACAACTTAGTTACTTTTGGCACTCTACCTTTATTAAACTACTAATACCTGGGGACCGAGCTTTGCTCAAGTCAAATGATAAGTATACATGAGGGCAGTCTTTTGTCAATGCAATTTATCTAAATCTTTAAAAATTGTCAATTGTAGTGGATACTTAATATGCACAATAATAAATACTTAACAGGCCATAGGACCATTTTGAAACTTATTCTTAACACAAAGGTAACACCTTGTTTAAATTACAATTGATGAATACTAAATACCTACTAATAGTGCCTACTAGGTAAGCACAATAATTTGTTTAATCTTACTTCTACAACAGTTACCCTTCAATTCGTAGAAAATGCTTAAGCTCTAGTTGTAAAGGTTTAGAGTGTAAAAGTCGTATTACGAAGGTTGTAACTAACTGTTAGAATGCAACACCTCAGTATCTGGAACTTTTACTGTTCTCCTTTTAGTTTAAAGGTATCGTGGTTTGTTTGGTAATATCATTGAGTAAACGTATACTCAATGATAATACTCTTGATTCCATCACCTATTCGCAGAGTTTGTAGAGCAATCGATAGCGAGTCTCTCAATCTAGTTATCCCGGTTCCAACCACGCCAGAAACGCTTACATTTTAATTCTCATTCCATAAGGAATATTATTTTCTTTTGCAAACAATTTTAAAATTAGATGCAGTTCCAAGTTAAAGAAAGAAGATTTGTTAGATGTAAATGTTTGAAAGTATTAACTGAGAATAACTTAAACACTCACTCTATTTCAGTTCTTCATTATTCCATTATTAACTCTTATAGTTGTTTTTGTTCTTGTCATCATATGATCAATTTCTTCTTGTGTGTGTTTGTGTTTGTATATATATATATATATACAGGGTGCGGCATAAAGAACTCCCCTATTAGGAAAGCTAATAAAAACAAAACCAAGTAAGATATGACATTTTTATTGCTATTAACCAAAAACACACATTATGCCATTTTAAAAAATATAAAATTATAGTGCTTTAAATAAAATGTCGTTTTAATAATCGATAATTTAAAATTATCGTGTTTTAAATAAAATGTCATTTAAATGGCGGCTTCCAGTGTTAACACATTGGTTCAATCGTTCCGCCCTCAAAGTTTAGAAGCCCTCAAGGAAAGAATAAAGCATGAAGTTGCAGCCATCTCACCCGACATGACCCGAAAGGCAAAGGACAACTACCGGGAACGTTTGAACCAATGTGTTAACACTGGAGGCCGCCATTTAAATGACATTTTATTTAAAACACGATAATTTTTAATTATTGATTATTAAAACAACATTTTATTTAAAGCACTATAATTTTATATTTTTAAAAATGGCATAATGTGTGTTTTTGGTTAATAGCAATAAAAATGTCATATCTTACTTGGTTTTGTTTTTATTAGCTTTCCTAATAGGGGAGTTCTTTCTGCCGCACCCTGTATATATAAAGTGTATTGGGGTTGAGGGGTTGATTATATATCATTGAAGGATCATTGAATATTGATTGGGCCTTAACAGTGAGATAAGAGTAGGCCTATATTTTGTACATTTAATTAGGTTTTAATTCATTTCCACAACATATCTATTGATCTAATTAGGTTACCAATTTAAATCTATAATACCCCCGCTGCAGCAAACCTGCCGACTAAGCAAATTTCAATTTGCCTGGATTGATTTTCATTTAATCTATTAAATTAACATTTATGTTTAACGAGTACCTAGGTTAGCTGCTACAGGGAAACTAATAAAGTGTGTTTTTCTATTAAAATGTCAATAGAAATAAATAAATCTGCCAAAGCTTAATGAAAACATATCCATAAACAAGCCAACTACAACATTTTACAATATTCTCAATTTTTTTAATTTTCTCCGTAACCAATCACCGTACAAAAACACTTTGATATACTAAATTATTTGTTTCTTTAAGCTCTTTAAAAATGTCTGGTGAAAAAATTTATAAGTTTTGTGCTTTAAGAGTAAAAAATGAGAAAACGCTATTTTTGCCCCATAAAACCCATTGTTAAACCCAGTTCTCATGGTCCGATCATGGTGGTTCGCGAACTCATTCAAGTTTATCCCATCTTACACCTTCAAACCAAATTTTATCAAAATCGGACAAAAATTACTCAAGTTTTTGTTTGGACCGACATATAAAAATTTCAACGAATAGTTTTCTTGGCCTCTGGGGACATCAAAATCAAAAAGTAAATCGGTCCCGGGCCTAGGTTTTACCATGAGACCTACGGTAATAGCTACTTCCCTATAGGGAAATTCGCTAAAAGATGAAGTATATGTATATCCCTATGGACTTTGAAACCCTCCACAGGTTGTAATGAAACTTTCAAGCATTATCCTACATTATTCAAGGATGGTTTGTGTGAAGTTTGGGGCAGATCCGCCAAAATGGCTCCGCCCCAGAGGGTTTTGAGGGGTCCAATGTCAGAATTTCGGAACTACAATGTTTACAAATAGATATAATTTAAAAGCAGATGTTTACTTTCACCAACTGTTTTGTAGGTTTGAATAATCACAAATCACAACATTCTGTATTAGTCATGAAATAGTGAAATAGTGCCACACTGTTTCTACAGAATGCAGCACAGAAAACTATTTTACTTTTGGATAAGTCCAAATATATTATACAGTCTAACCTTGATATAACGAACCTCGATATAACGAATTCCTTGATATAACGAATTTTTTTTAATCCCCTAGAACTCTCCATAAGACACAATGTATATTTTACCTCTACATAACAAACAAACCATAACAACGACCTTGATTTAACGAATTTTTCGTGATTTCGGCTAAAATAAGACACCTCAATATAACAAATTTGTCATTGTCAGAACCTCTACATTGCAAATTTAACCTCTGCATAACGAATTGTCTACGTCTTTCCCTCGATATAACAAATCCCCCACCATATTGTTTTGGGAAAATCTGTTTCTTTATCAAATTAAATGGAAAGGTCACGTCATCGCTTGCGCTAACATTCGTCTGTTCCATTTTACATCTTTGTCTGCTGTCGCTGCGCGCGCTATGTTGCAACTGAGAACGAGAACTGATTTCATTCACTGAGGACTGATGACGACGTAATGTTTATAGTAAGCTGTGATTGGGCGATATGGGATAACTATAGTGAATTGTACAATTTTTGGATAAAGAGAAACTTAAGAAAGAATATAAAAACAAAACCAAAGAGAAAGAATAGCAACATCGTTATTTTAACATTCCTTTTACAAGTGTTTTTATTATCCTTAAATTGACTATGATTATACACTTTTATAATGACTTATCTAATAATTTATTGTTTTCAATACGATTTGTTTCAACTAGCAACACCAATGCTATAGTTAATGATTATTATTGACATTCCTCTGTTGTGATAAATCAGTACTGTACTGTAAGTAGCCTACCGGCCTATCGCGAGCAGTAGCTTACAAAACTTTCTACTGTTTTGTTTTGTTCTTTACATGGCTTATGACTACGCAATACAGTGTTTGGCTAGGTTTTAGGAGGGTTAGAACAAGCTGTGATTTTAAACTTACATCTTTTAACCTGTACCAAGGTCAATACCATTGTCAAGATTGCGCAATATTCAAGATCCCTCCCCTTTATTATGCCGAATAATTTAGGTTCTACTGTACAATGTAAACACTGTACTGTAAAGTATTGTAGCCTATGCTACTTTAATTGTATTTTAATGAGGTCAAATCCCGACCTATATTGACCGACGCTGGTTCTGAACCTCGACTTAGCGAAATTCCTGCAATCCTAACCTCTATATAACGAACCTCGTTTTAACGAAATCCTTGATATAACGAATATTCAGTTCGGTCCCTTCAGATTCGTTATACTGAGGTTGGACTGTACCACAATCGCAGCACACCTGTGCACTCAACAAAGTTTAAATTCTCCACTATTAAATATGTAAACATACAAACCTTTATCAAAGTATCATAAACAATAAAAGGGATGGCAATGTCTTAGTATTTTTATCTTTTGTTCTATACCCACAAAATCTAACATAAATTATCTATATAAATAAAATTAGAGTTTTGTCTGTACATTGCTCAGAATTATATATTTTTAGGTTATTTTTACGTTTTATACATTAAAGAAGCAGAAACAAGTCTTATCTCTATTTCTGTCTGTCTGTCTGTCTGTCTTTCTGTCTGTCTGTAACACTCAAGATGGCATTTTACGCTATCTTCTCCAGGAAAACGAGAGTACCTATCAAGATCCAAGTCATTTTAATGTATTCACTGGATTGGCGAGAGTGTCTTTAGCCATCAAAATATGGCCGCACTACTTTGTAAATACAATTACGGACTTTCAAAATGCAGTTTTGTGTGATTTTTGTCAAGTTTTCGTCCAATTTTTATCGCATAATCATCTATGAAATAACGAACAGCTGTTCAATATATAGCGGATCAATATTTTTTTTTATAGCTGTCACTGATATGTTTACAAATGTTGTTTACAAATACCGCAACCATTTTCAATCACGTTTTGAGGGCAAATCCCAACCAAGTGAGTTTAAAAACATTTTTCTTACATAACGGATTTAATTAATCGCAAGTGCAATAATATAGTGTAACCGTAATTGAAATTAAATGACTAGGCATGATCCAGGTCAGGAACCAGAGATTCTTTGTGTATACAATTGTTCTTGAGTTTTGATAATCAGAAAGAAGACCTTGAATCAGTGTTGTATACGGCTGGGAAACTTAAATTTAATAATGATCGCCGCCAATAGCTTAGAAACAACGTGTCCACTTATTAACGGCGCTTCAATGGTGGTTGTGAAAAAGTGTAA